ACCCATTTCACAGACGGAGAAATAGAGGTCGGCCTGTCCCAGATCACACGGCTATGTAAGTGGTGGAGCTGGGATTCCTACCTCCAGATACTTCCATTCTGATTCCAGTGCTCTCTCCACTACAACGTGTATAATTAGAAGGGTTTATTCAAAGGAGGTTCCCAGCCCAGCCAGCATGGCTCAGTGGTTGAGCGTCGACCTATGAACCAGGAGGTCATTGTTTAATTCCTGGTCAGAGCACATGCCTGAGGTGCAGGCTCAGTCCACAGTGTGTGGCACGCAGGAGGCAGCTGGTCAACGATTCTCTTTCATTGATGTTTCTATCTCTCCCTCCCCTTCCTCTCTGAAACCAATAAAAATACATTTAAAAAACAAAACAGACAAATGAAGAAGATTCCCGGGGCTCTCCTTGTGTGAGAAGTGGAGGATTCTGGGACTCAGGGCTGGGCCAGAAGACACCTCCTGTTCTCTCCTTCTGCCCTGCTGGCAGGAGCTGAGCTGTGGAGACCAACGACCAGGCCGTGCCCTCCCCTCTTGGAGGACTCATCTGATAAAGCCTCCTGCCCGGGCAGTCCAGCGGCCTCTCTGCAGAGCATGGTCCCCCATGGTCTCGGGGAGGCCCTTGGTAAGACCAGGAAGGAGCCTGCTGCCTGGGCGGGGGTAGATTACCAGGAGCAGGAAGCCTGGGCCGTGCGGAGGAGGTGGGGAACGAGTGGCATGTGCCTCTCAGAGCCGCCCACCCACGTCAAGGTGACATGGAGGTGTCTGGCCTGACAGCTTGTCATGCATGGCCTGGGCGGGCCTTCCAGAAATCACCCACTTGGGGTGAGGGTGGAGGTGCAGGGGGCCTCCTCCCACGCGTGATGACTTGTCCCAGGTTCTGGAAACTGCCTGGTCCAAGCCTCGGGCCATGTGACACTCTGAGGGGTGTGCCAGCCCTCTCTGGGGAGTTGCCCCCCGGCCCCTCCCACCACAGAGGCCCAGCGGAGAATAGAGCGACCCATGAGGCCACAGAGAGCTGGATTCCACCTGGTTTTGAAAAGCAGCTTTTCCAATGGGACAGCCTGGATTCAAAGTTCAACGCCTCTACTTAGTTGTCTGGGGACATTTATTCCATTTCCCCTTGTGTCTTCCTGCAGAGAATGCAATAATAGCCGTGCCTGCTCCACGCTACGGGGATAACACACATCGGGTGTTCAGCTCAGTGTCTGGCACACTGCGGCCGCTCAGCGAGTGCTGGCTGTGACCACTCCCCCTTCACTGTCGCCCCCGCAGCTCCCCGCCTGCGTCTGTGTCCTCCCCCCTGCACCAGGGCATCGTCTGCACAATGAGGGAAACAGCAGCCTCGGGATCTAACCGGACCCAGAGGCCGCTGATGGGCAGCTGGGCTGTGACTGGCTGTCCTTCTGAAGCGCCATCGTCTGCCACCC